GCTTTGCTACAGCCATGCAGAAGATTGCACAGTAGCAAGCAAATGTTTTCTTGTTGACCAAAGAGGACATGAGGCAGTAGAAGTGGCTTCCAGCTACATTGGTCACCTGTGGATTTCAGGTTACTGCAAGAATTGTAGTAGTTCACCAGGAGAAAGACTCTACAGGGCACTTTTGATTTGCAGTAGCATCTTCCCAGGAGAATTGTCTGTGATCTGGGACAAAATACAGGAAAGGAGTTGGGTAATTGTTGAGAAAATAGTGATAAGAGGAAGAGATCGGCTGACCTGCTGTTTATCTTAGTGGCTTCGTGCACCTACACTAATCCTGGGTGAATCAGCATTTTTAGTACACTGCAGTCAGTCTCGCTGAAGTTCTTTATATCCACAGAAGCTCAGCATTGACCTGTGCAGAAAGTGTTGGGAAGCAAGATGAAGAAGAACTGGCATCACTGTATGTGCATGTCTGTTGGCGGACACTGCTCATTTTCATCACTCATGCTCCAGAGAATTTAGGAACCTTTTGTTCCAGGACTACAGTGATGCTCTGGCAAGATCTTTGTGGCCTAGGGCTACAACCTTGCTTCATCTGGAGCTTGCCCCATGACAGATAAAAATAGGGCTTGAGCTGCAGCCAGGCTGTGTCAGTGGTGAGGATGCAGCCTCCTTAGCCTGTTAGAGCTTGTGACTCCTGGTAGCTCTGGCATAGGGTGAATAATCACACCTACGGGCAGGCAAATAAGCAGGATCATGCTGCCTGGGTCCCACCCACACCAGGAAATAGCTTGCCTAGGGGGTTGCTCCTTGTTGAGGGGAAGTGGAGGAAAGACACTGACCAAAGCCATTCCACAAATTTGTCAGCAGAAGCAGCAGTGTAGGACTGCGTTGGCTGAGCTGCAGGAAGGTGGCTGCGTGCAAGCTCAGGCTGCATGGAAAGTGGCGTGTGGGCTGCTGTATGCTTGCTGAGCACGCTGTCCTAGCTGGTGGTGAGAGATATGGCCAAAAACCATCACCATTCAGACCCTCTGTAGGAAGGTCTTAGGAAAAGTGCAGGTATATGAAGAAATTGTAGCTTTGACTGGATCTTCTATCATAACCTGTGACAGTACAAGAGGAAATGGCCTCGAGCTGTGCCAGGGGAGATTTAGATTGGAGAGCAGGACACATTTCTTCATGGAAATGTTGTCAAACATTGGAACAGACTGCCCAGGGAAGTGTTAGAGTCACCATCCCTGGAGGTATTTAAAAGATGTGTAGATGTGGCACCTGGGGACATGATGCAGTGGTGAATGTAGCAGTATTAGTTTAATGGTTGGACTCGGTGGTCTTGAGGTCTTTTCCAACCTACATGATTCTGTGATTCTCTGATCTTATAGCTTCTCTATTTGTTCCCATAACTCATCTCCTCCTTGTCATCCTCTGCTTCCTCATCCCCCCTCACAGACTAGCAGATTCTTCAGCTGCCAGTGTGCTGTGTGTCATGAGCACAAAGTGCATGCAGTTCAACTGATTGCTAATAAGGCTGACAGTTTAACACAGAAGTTAGTTACTCAGGAGGGCTTCCCAAAAGCCTTCCTTTTCTGCAGTTAGGAAGCCGAGTATCCCACATCTGCCACAAGCACTGTGCTTCAAATAGGGAGAGCTTGAAGGAATGTAATTATTGGCTGCAAATTTTACTTCAGTTAGTGTTCTTACATTGGATAATTGTTCTACATGCAGCACATCACTGGAAAAAAAGCTTTGGTTTTCCTCATTTTTATATTGTCCATTATGGCTTGCCTGTCAGTTTTGTTAATGGCCTGAGAAACACAGCAGAAATCAAACTATCTGCCTGTACCTACCCCTTGTCTGAGGTACGGACAAGAGGAAAGACACCTATAGAGAAATTCAACACGTATGACTTAGAGGACAGAAGTGGAGCATTAAAGACTATTTTTACAATGTAATAAATGCACTATAGCATTAAAGCAATATTTACCTGGAGACAAGAGTCTTCTCTTCCTGCTTTCTTTCCACTGCTGGCTTATCCATGACAAAATATTGCTGAACTCTCCACCCCCCCTCAGCAGAAAGAAGCTGCAAGAAAGTTTGGTGGTGAATTTATTTGTCACATAGGTTACTCACACCACATCTCTCCTGGGCAGCTTCTGTCAGCTGCCAGCAGCAAAGACCCTTTCCAGTATCCGAGTTTACATGAGGGCCTGGCAGGGGAGTGTTCTCCTCTGTGCACAGCCAGCCTCATTAAATCTCAGCGTGACAGGCTCACGGCTCCACCACTGAACTTTTAACTTGAAGCTCTAGCAGGGTGCTGAGTAGCTCCAGCTACATGACACGGAGCTGTGAAAGTAAATCACTTTTCTGGGAACAAGGGGAAGTCCAGCATATTGTTTTGCAGACTTTGCCTGCAGCTTCTCTGCAGTATAAGTATAGAATATATTCACACCCGGGAAAGCAATCAGAGCGAGATGGACTTCCAGCGCAGAGCTCAGCCGTACCCCATCCCAGAGGATGAAGAGGTTGCGTACAAGGTCGCTCCTGATGCTCACAACTCTGCAGGAAATGAAGACGAGAAACCAGTGTCAAAATTGCAACGTAGGCACAGTGAAATAAAACTCTACAAAGAGTTTTGTGACTTTTATGCAAGATTGTAAGTTCGTTCTGTTCAGCTTCGGGGTGTAACTGCAGTGACATTACTGGTGTATTGTATGTAATGTATTTTATTATCTGAGATCTGAGGCTCAGGCTATGCAAGCTGTTCTCTCATCCAAACTTTGCCGCTGTTCTGCTTGAACAGTGCCGGTTGTAACTGTCAACTAAAATTTGAATTGTTACTTTAAATTTCATCATTAATTGCGTCCGAAATTTTTATCAGCAGTAAAAATGGTGTTGGAATTTGTAAAGTAGTCTCTCTGCCTTCAGGTTGTTTGCCAGTTATTCTGGGCAAATGGATAAACTGCTTCATTAATGCAGAAGTATTACATACTTCACTGGTTTTACATATATGATGTGTTTCAAAGTAAAGAACATTTTCCTGAAGAGGGAAACTGTTTTTATTTGTTTTTGAACTTTGTTTCATGTTTTTACTTGGATTATACTTTATGTACAGCAGTGCTTAACATCCTTAATGCTTGAGCACTGTTGAAATGATGATGAAAGATCCCAGTTTCTCTTGTGATTATTCTTCATTTAGATTGATAAGGAGGATGGGGAAATTGACTGAGGTTTTGCCCCACAGAAAGCATACACAGTCCATAAAGGCCATTGGTGAGCTTTGTAGATCACAGTTTATGTATATAGTCACTGCAGATTGTCCATAGGTGTCTCTTTTATGTAAGGGTTAGACCATCCTGCATCTGGCCTTCGTGTGAAATTTGCCCACTCATTTCACTGTGAGGGCAGTGGATATTTGGATTGCAGTTAACGTTTTCCTCATCTACAAAGATCAAGAGAGAGAAAAAAAAGTGCCAGCTAATAATAACATGACAGATGTGACCTTGTGTAGGGCTCTTCTGTGAGACAGTGTAAGCAATAGATAAAACACATTCCATTTTGAACCACGTGCTAGGTGTTTGCTTGCTCCCTTGGATGGTGTACAAGGAATGAATTCAATTCCTGTGGAACATGGTGGGAGCCCAGAGGTTTTATCCCCTTAAAGACATAAGAAGGAAGGCTTGGCATCTGGCAGAGGACTGTGGACTCTGCACTTACAGGCACAGCATGATAGCTGTATCAAAATGCGTGCATGCATGTACACATGTTTCAAATAATGTTACTTGTCTAATAACCTTCCCGATATATTATGAGTCAGTGGTTTTGTCAGCTGACATCAGATTGTAATGAAACTAGACCACTACCCTATATTAGCTCTCTGCTACTACATGGTATTAGGGCAGAGGGGTGATCCTGAAAGGCAGATCTTTGAGAGTCTAGATTTGAGTGACAAAATGTTTGCAAAAGAAAAATAAAAAGAGCCTTTTCCTGGCCTTAATTAACTGAAACACAGCTGTACTGTCTTCCACAGATGTGGACAGCTACCATGCTGCCATTTTATTTGGTTCTATGCCATTGAGAAGCAACCAAGGTTGCTGTTTGAGTATTTCTTTGCATCCCTGGCATGGGTTTACCAGCTTGTGTTGGCCTGTGCGTGGGTCACAGTGGGGCAGCCAGAGCAATCTCACCCTCCCCCTTGTCCCTGGAGTGGGCTGTGAGCTGGCACATGATGAGCTGAGCTCCCTGAGATAAACCCTAACTACAAACCAATCAAAAATCCCATGGCTTCAAACTAAATTTGTAAAATGACTTCAAGCTATGCAGAGCTCATATAAAGGATAATTATTTAACTACTGTGTTTTTCATTAATATCTGCCAGACTATATCCTGCATGCTCTTTCACATTATTTATTTAGAGCTCTGAGAGCTCTGAAGTAATGCTGTTATATATATATATATATATATATATATATATATATATATATATATATATGTATAAGAATTAGGAATTGGTTTACAATAAATCATTCATGTTTTCGTGTGTGATGCCAGTCCTCCATCATTAATATTTGCCCTTTTTTCAATAATTTAAATGTATTTCATAATTTTTATAGTATTATAATTATATATTAGTTTTATAGTATTTTTATAATATTTAATGTATTTCATAATTTTAATTTTATATTCTTATAGACTTTTAATTGCCTGTCTTTTTCGTCATAAAAAAGCCTGTAAATATGTCTGTAGTGACAACGTTTCTGTTTGGGGTTTTTAATTAATTAGAGCGCATCACAGGGATTTTGTTTCTAAAGAGTTAGGGAGCAGGGAGAAGTGGAGTTTTATTTTTGAGGAGATGCATTAAGTCATGAAGTTCATTGAAAAACTTGTGTTGAGCAGCTTAGATTGATGCAGTTTGGCCTGGGTGTATGACGGGGGGGGGAAGACCCACGAGTGCTGTTGGCTATTTAGGTTAATTTTATATTTCTTTTTTTTTTTCTTTTTTTGAATGACAGCAACATGGCGAATGCGCTTGCAAATGCCATCTGCGAGCGCTGCAGGGGGGGCTTTGCCCCTGCCGAGAAAATTGTCAACAGCAATGGTGAGCTGTACCACGAGCAGTGCTTCGTCTGTGCCCAGTGCTTCCAGCAGTTCCCCGAAGGGCTCTTCTATGAGGTAAGTGGGGCAGAGGACCCCTCCTGTCCCCATACCCCCTCTTGAACTTTCATTCCCATAGCAGAAGGAACTACAGGCAGGTGGATAGCTTAGAAAGTCTCATGGGAGGATCTGGGCTCTGAAAGAGTATGCCCAGTAAAGGGAGGAAAAAGCCAGGAGCATCTCTGTGCTAATTTGGAGAACATCAATGTATATAATGTTCTTTAAATGTGGACCTTAATGTTATCAGCACTGAGAAAAAAACTCTTGGAGATTTTTTCTCAGTGCAGATTTCTCTGAAATTTGTGAATCTTACGTTTCATACCAGAAATACAGAGAAAACATACTGTATGAGGAGAAAGTCTTTTACAGGGAAATCCCAGGATCCTGTGGCCCATAGGAGGTTTATTGCTGAGTTGAGTGAGTCCAGCTTGGCATTGGAAAAGAGATCATCTGTATGTGAGCATGCTATGATCCAAACCAGACAGGGCTGGTGTAAGATCAATTCTTAAGTTTAACAGTCCAGAGCATTCGAAATTATCAGTTCTTAACATACTTTCAGTGGTTAAAACCTGATCCCGTTCATATGCCTCAGCTTAGGAGGGTATTTTGGTATAGGTTTCATTTTCTTTTATGTTCCCCTATCATGGGAATTCAGAATGTGGCTCAGCACAAAGTGGCTTTAGTGAAAACTCTAGACTGGTTCATAAAATAGAAGTGATTGTATAGGAAACAATAGATAGTATGAGACAGGGAATTACTGTCAGAGAGATAAGGCCCTGTTCCAGTAGCTTGTAGTCCATCTTAGGGCAGCAGTTACAGGATTTGTGTCATATGGTGATCTGAAAATGAAAATGAGCAGAGTGTGAAAGGAATAATTCCATGCTCTCACATACAGGTGTCATCCTTTGGCAAGAGCGTAATAGTTTATCTTCCATAGAACCATTTGTAATTTTACAGAGCCATGTTATCTGGTGATGAGGAGAGGCTGAGGGAGGAGTGTGGCTTGCAAAAGAGACTGGCTAAGGAGATTCCTGGAGATTTGCTTTTCTCACCTTGTTTGAGGATCAAAAGGCTCTAGGGATAGTGTTACACAAATTGCAGTACATCAGCCTCTAGTAAGACATCAAAAGGTGAGCTGCGAGGCAGAATTAATTAAAGAGAAACAAAAGAACACCCTCCAGATACTTAACAAGTTGCATTACAATTGTTAATATATACTGAGCTGACTCTTAAAGAGTCCATCCTGACATGTTAAGACCTGAGGCAAATGTAAAGTGATATGAACATTTCAAAACTGAAATAACTATATTTGTAATTATATTAATAAAGTTGTCTTAAACCAATAAAATGTATTTTCTCTAAATAATGAATACTTTATTCATTCATTTTCTGACTCAAAAAACAATGAGACATTCTGGGGACCTTTTTCAGAAAGCTGAATAGTCCTTAAAGATTTGGGAAATCGTGCTCTAGGCAGCCTGTATCTTCTAGAGGAGACTGCAGCAGAAAGGAAGTTATACTTTTGGACCTAGTTCAGGAATGTTACAATCTCTCTCTGTTGCTCTTGGGTGGCCATACCTGAATCTCAGTGGCAGAGGAAAGTATCCTAGTGGTGCTTCTATATACTGTATGTAGGCATTTTCCTTCCTACTGCTGCCTTGTTAACATTTATATTCATGATGACTGATCTTTGAGCATGTTACTGAAACATGCTGCTCTCAAAGACAGTAAGTCAGAAGTGAGTGCCAGTAGATTGTCCCAGGAATGAAAATAACACTGCGTGCTAAAGATGTTTTTGTAATGTTGCTAGAGATTTTTTTCAGGCTGGGTAGCCTGAGAAATGTTACACAGAAAGTGGAAAGTTTCAGTTAGGATAGACACTACTTGCCACAATTGGTAGAGATTTAAATTACATTGGATAGGCTGAGGGAGCCTGTTCAGACTCAAGAAGAGATGACTGAGAGGGGACCTCATCGATGTATATAATTTTCTGAAGGGAGGGAAGGAGGAGGATTATCTGTGAGAGGAGGGAGCCAGGCTCTGCTTGGTGGTGCTGAGCAATAGAACAAGAGGTTATGGGCAGAAACTGATGCACAGGAAGTTCCACCTGATCATGGGGAAGAGCTTCTTTACTGTGCACTGGTACAGGTTGCCCAAAGAGGTTGTGAAGTCTCCCTCACTAGAGATACTCAAGAATCATCTGGATGCAATTCTGTGCAGTGTGTCCTAGGATGACCTTGCTTGAGCAGGGAGGTTGGACCAGATGACCCCTCCTCCAACGTGACCCATTCTTTGATTCTGTGAGAGGAGGGAAACCCCTGAGCAGGTAGAAGATGGGCTTACGTTTGTGAGTGCTCAGGAGTGGCTGACAGTGCTCAGATGCATGAAATAATCTGTATCACTGTCAAGAAGAGCAGTGACTGCAGAAGATGGGCAGAAAGGACATTTTCCTCAGATTGGCTTAATGCAGTCTTTGAGAAGATGGATGTGTTTGGAGTTGTGGCCAGGTAATGTGTTTTTCTGAGCCGGTTCCCGTGAATAAATGTTGATTGCCCAGCATGAACTTGTGTTTATTCTGTGCCTGGTTTAGCTAAGCTAGAATTTCTTGGAAATGATTTCCAGCTCTTAGCAATTAGGAAGACAAATATTGTTCTCCTGCCTATTGCAAGCCTTGCAGGGTTCCCCCAGTTAGTCATTAAGCTGCTTATCACACTTGCTGTCAAACGCTGCCATGATAAGCTTTCACGCTGTGTTCCACGGGTGGGGGTGGAACTAGCCAGGTCTCCTGTGCTGCAGGACTGAATTTCTGGGCTGCTTTGCAGGCACCCTGATCAGCAGAGCTCGCTGTGGTCTGGCACAAGTGGTGCCCATCCACTGCTTAGAGTCTGCACAACATAGCAAGGGTTTTGTGGATGTCCTCTTGAGCCTGTGTTAGAAATGATAGTTTGGATTCCTGAGAGCTGTGTGCCTAATGTTGCACCAAAACTGTGGATACAGTATATTTGATTTGTGTTTCAGTTTGCTCATAACATCATTTTAGCAGGTTTTTTATCCACTCAATCTAAACAAAAATTAGCACAAGCACATTCCAGTAGAGTTATCAAACTCCGTTCTTTGCTGTTAGGTGTGAAGTGGTAGCAAGTCTGGTCTGCTTCTGCTCCACCACCTGGAAGGTGTGTATTCCCTAGAGCTGCTATTGTAGAGTTTCTCTACAGCTAACACTGCACAGTCCAATACTAATGGCAGAACAGATGCTCATGTTTGCTTCTTTTCCACTTGTACCTCAAGTACCAAAAGCTGCTATAGAGAAACAATCTCTAATGTCTCCGTTTTTGTGCATGGCTTTCCACTTAAATTAGCTAAAAACATGCAGGTAAGCTAGAGGTTATTTCACAGTGATGTTTTATGCAGAGCCATTTACCTCATAGACCTTTAGCATACAGCAGTGAAATGACCATGCTTTTAAACTATGTACTCTAAGATTTGTTACAGAAGCTCAAGGCTTTCTCTGATAATAACTGCTGGGTCATCCACAAAGGGCAGCACAAAGGAGCAGAGAGGTTGAAAATATAAACAAGACTGAATGGAAACCAACCTGCCTGATAGAAGCAAGAGGGGAAGAAAACCTGTTTGGTCTGTTCAGATCATCATGTGGTGGCTTTGAAATCCAAGGAAACCTAAGCATCCCCCATTGGACCACCTTTTTATACAGAACAGGAAGCTTTCAATTTTTTTTCAGTTTGAAAAGGATTTTATCCTGCAGGAAGCAAGCACAATTCACAATGAACCAGTAATTTCCATTACTCCTTGAGAAAGTAATAGCCCTGTACCTCTCAATTACTATTTTTTTAAAAGCCAAAATTAAAAAGTAATCTGTTTTAGAGTATTACACGGCAATAGCACTTGATAAATTTCTGGCAGAGACTTTTGAAAAGGTCTGTACTGAGTTAATGTCTTTCTGTTCCTAATAGGTGCAATTCAGGTTGGGCTCAGGAATTTTTTAACCATAAATATCTAATGAAATATTTTATTAGATCCCCATCCTGCCAGTTGCAGGATATATTGTATTCAATCCTTGTCATTTCCTATTATACAACGGGTAATCTTGAAACACATTCTGTATTTTCTGTCCATGCACAAAACCTTTGTGGGTAGTACTTTATGCTATTCACTGGGCTTTGTCTTAGGCTGTAAAAAGAAAGGAGCAAGGTTTCCTGCTGTCCTCCTTGTTCCACTGTTTAAACTGAGATATTCAAATCCAAACATTTTATAGCATACCTAATATTGTCTCCCTGGTTTTGACATGCTCACTGGCATTTGTGTCTAATAATAATGATGCCTGAAGGTATCTAAGCATTTTCCTTGATTTCAGCACATATTTGCCTACATGTTTTTACATATTCTTTGGCTAAGCTACTAATGCAGTGCTGTTGAGTCTTTTTATTACATATGGGGTTTTTTTCAATGAGAGCTTGAACTGCAGCTGAACTTACCTAAACTGTTATAAAATTCAAATGCCTTAAAATCAGTTTTATTTGGTCAATGTAGTGAACTTTGCTCCTTCATGTTCGGACTTGATTATTTTAAGGGTCTTTCCCAACCTAAATGATTTTATGATTCTATGAAATAAGCATCGTGAAGGAAAAGGCTTATTTCCCCTCATGTTTTGGCTGAACTGCTCCATAAATTGCAAAGATTTCTGCCCCTGGGGTTCTTCCTACTCCAGCCTCAACCATATGTACTTCCTCTGGTATGCTGGGTCATTCAGGCAGGAAGTGTAGGGTGAGGAAGACATCAAATAGGTTTGGGAAGAATGCTTTTCCCCTCCTGCTGGCGAAGGCTGTTTGTTAGCTAATTTCCTGCTCAGAATGTGCTTGGTTGCTTCAGTTTCAGTAGTCTGTCAAAATTCAGACGTCTCTTGTAATGTAAATGGGTGACAGAAAATGCCTTACATTCTCAGCAGTACTGGAGAAATGGTGTGCTATTAACACTACATGCTAACTAGCAGGTGAATTAAGGTGGGTGGATGTAATGCCTAGCACATGTAGCTCATGGTTTGGGTTTTTTTTGCTCAGCCCCTCATGTTTTACTACCTAATTGTATCTGAAAACACACCAGGCTGTTGTTAAGTGCATGTTTCTCATCCCTCTAACGCTCAGATCTTTTTCTATTTGCAGTTTGAAGGGAGGAAGTACTGTGAACATGATTTTCAAATGCTTTTTGCCCCTTGCTGCCATCAATGTGGTAAGTTTTAGCTTAAGGTGAAATACTTTGCACTGATCACAAATGGGAGTGTCACTGGGGAAGATGTGCTGCCATTTTATTTGTTCTCTGGGAGGTGCTCATGTTCAGCTGAGCATCTGAACTTCAGAAATGTGCTAGACTTCAAAGAAACTGGGGAGTTGCTTTTTCTAAAGGTCATAAACCAGTAGGATTTAAAAATAAAATTTGCATTCTTTTAGTAAGTAATTTAGCTGTTGAGCCAATGATCCGTTGAATAGACTATTCATAAATTCCTGATTACTTTTATCTGTATGTCTCTATGTGCTGACATTTTTCTCATGTAGCTGAAACCCTGCAACAGGACTGTCATCTGCTTTGATTCATGTAACCTGGGCTGTCCTACTTCACAGAAGCTGGGATAGTATTCATTATCTAGTGTTACTATCAAGTGATGGTCAACTGGGCCCCCACTGATTTTTTTGAAACAAATACTTTTCAGGCTTTAGTGTCTAATGTCCATCCTACATGATACTGAGGGCTGCTTTTTATTTGCCACTGGCAATGTAGATGCTTGTGCATCTGCTGCACTGTAATCACTTACATGTTTTCTTTTTTCCCTGTGCATGACACATTTTGCTGGGCCAGGGCTGGGAAGTCATTATTTGACTACTCCCTAAACTGCTTTGGAAGCCCTTGTTTCTTTGGCACCATTGGCAAGGTGCTAAAGCTTTAATTTATCTCAGTGAGGCCTTTCCTCTTGTGGAGGGAGGCCAAGGGAGAGGGAAGCAGATGCTATGGAACTATGAATTTAAGGCTGCAGATGTGAACAAGCAGAGGAAGAGGAAGAAATGAGTTGGTGGCAATTTGATAGGAGCTATGCTGCCTATCTCCAGGATTTCTCCTGCACAATTGGCACAGCTCCACCTTCTCCTGTCCTCTCTCCTGGTACTGCCAGCTCCTTAAAACCTCATCAAGGTCCTGCCCAGAGCTGAGCTTTTCCACTGCTTGTGCTTAATAAAAGTACAGACAAAGTCAATGGGGCTGTTATCAATGATGAGGCCTTGAGCTTTCCTGACAAATCTGGAGTCCATTGGATTTTGTTCTTGAAAAGCCATGACTTTGTGGGAATGCTATGCTGGCTATTACCGTCCATGCCGGTTTCCTGCCTGATCGCTCCCCTTTGGCAGCTCTTGGAGTTGTTCTCCAAAGCCAGAACTCAGCCTCTAATAGCACTGGGAAAAACTGAGCTCCCAACACATTTTGCACTGCATAGAGGCCCTGGCTACACTGTCTACCAGCACAGAGAAAACTAAGTCACATGTGATGGATATCACCCCTCTGCCTGTGCAGTACAGTCACACTGTGCATGCTAAACGCTGGTTCTCACACTATTTTTTTAATGCCTTATGGGACAGGACTCCATGTGGTAGAAGTTGTGTGTGTTGGTTTACTGTTTACTGTTCTGCAGCTTCACTGCACCTTTGCATTTGGACTCTTTGGGAGTTTTTCTGCAGGAGGTCCACAGCCACCCAAGCTCTGTTCTGTTGTGCCTGGAATATTGAATACTTCAAGGCTTGGTCCTAGTGGAGTAGACACCTCTGCTATATACGTGGCAAGTTAAAGTTGTCATACTCTTAAACAAAAGAAAGGAGAAAGATGATTAGAACACAAGAAAGCCCCTATTCGATTAAGTACTCCATAAATTTCTTAACACCTAGAAAACAGATAATTAAAACTAGTGAAGGGACCAAAATAGTATTATTGCAGAGAGAAGGTGGAGTGTGCATGTAGAGAGACTTGTATGTAAATAGCAGAAGGTCCTTCATCAGCAAAAATGTCTCCTTTTAACCCATAACAAAAAACAACAAATCCAAATTCCAGGGTTTGGAATCAGAACTGCAATATTGAAAGCCATGTGTCCTGCCAGATTTTGAGGTAAGGAAAGGAATTATGATTGTAGTCATTGTAGTGAGTCCTTGTGAGTTACTTTTAAGTTTGTCTAGTATGATGTTTTACATCCTGGTTTTGTGTTTCTTACAGGTGAGTTCATTATTGGTCGTGTTATTAAAGCCATGAATAACAGCTGGCATCCAGACTGCTTCTGCTGTGATATCTGCCAAACAGTATTGGCTGATATTGGATTTGTCAAGAATGCTGGCAGGTAAATCACCCTTCCTTCTGTTAACTGTTCATAAATTAAATGAACTGATAGTGGGACTGAGAGGTTTTGGTTCTTGAAGCTTTCCAGCTCGGATGGAGCAACTGAAGTATTTTCTGTGATAAGAAGGTCTAATTGTGCATCACAAAACCAAGAATAGGTGTCTTAAAATACTAGCATTTTGCCTGCTTCAACACTAAGTTTCATGGTAAACATTTTCTTTACCCAGTGTCCTTTTGGGGTCATTGTTATATGTAATAAGAGAGAAAACATTCAGATACAGAAGCATTGTCTTTTTTTTTTTAATAAAAATGTTTACTTTCTTTTTCCAAATTGGTTCTCCAATTTTGGTCCAGTTTGGCACCAGATGTATTAATAATTACTTAATGTTCAGTAGTGCCCTTCACAGAGTAAGATATTTTTGCCAGCTATGAACAAAAGAATGTTTTACCAGTGGATTATATGGCCATTGCCTTCTTATGTATAATACAATGTACAGAATTATCTACAGAAGTAGGACCTGTGTGCACATACAGCCTTCAATCTAAATTTTTAAGATTTTGAAAGTAAAACATTCATCAGCAAGAATCTATAAGAAACTTTGTTTTCTGTGTTTCAACACAGCTTTAACTCAGCTTAGCTGGAGAAATGATACTCCTGTGGTGACAGAAAATTAAATGATGACCCTGAACTTGGGCAATTATTTTGGTGCTTTGAACTTCGTTTGCCTTAGCAAGGAGGTTGCTTTAACAAGACTCAAAAAAGAGCTGAATGAAATGAGGTTCTGGGAGATTTTGGGTTTATATTTTGCGCTGTAGTACCCAGTGGCAATACTTACTTCTCTTTTTTTAATGCCGTTTCAGACATCTCTGCCGTGCTTGCCATAACAGGGAAAAAGCCAGAGGCCTGGGAAAGTACATTTGCCAGAAGTGTCATGCCATTATTGATGAACAGCCTCTCATCTTCAAAAATGATCCTTATCACCCTGATCATTTCAACTGTGCAAACTGCGGGTAACCTGAGTTCTGCAAAGGGAAACAGGAAAATGCTGGGCTTATTTGCTTCATCAATTTAAAGTGAAAACTTGTCCTGTACAACTGACAAGAACGGGTGGGGTTTGGATATCTTGGGGCCAGATGTGTGTTACTGCTTTTGGCTTGGTGAGGTTCAAACAACAGCTGACCTGCTGGAGACTGATGAAAGATTGACCTCTGCAGGATAAGGCAGTACCTTACAAAATATAAATATCAACACAAATACCATTTCTATAATAGTGAAATGATAGCTCACTGTTCTGCTAGGAGGGGAAGAGAAGTGGTTCTCTTTTGTTGCTTGAATTACTATCTTGCCTATGTTTTTTTTTTAGTTCAACAGCATCCAAACTTCGTTCTCTCTTTTTAAAGCCTGTCGTTTTTAGAAGCCTTCTCCCATCTCACTTTATCATCTTATGAATCTGCACATTTCTACATCCTGCACCAATACAGAAATGTAGGATTAGCATTGTAGGACATAGCATGGATTCTTAGTTTATTTCTGCTGCAAAGGAAGCTACCTTTTCAGTGCCATAGTGAAGGTTGATTTCTATAACAGTATGTAATGTTATATGAGTGGCAATCAGTTGAGAGTATTTGTACTTACTGTCACTTCTAAGGTTTAGCTATTCCCAGTATCTAACCACACAAATTACTAAAAGGTAGAGTTTATAAGATTCTGCAATGGGAAATGAATAAGCTTAGCTCATGTGGGTCTGTAGTTCTCTTTCTCTGAAGTTTGGTACATGGAAAATAAACTAGTGCAGAGGACTACATTTTACTTTCAGTTGCAGTTATGCAAATCTAAAATAAAATGGCGATAAGTGCCAGAACATAAACCAAACATATGCAGCAGCTTTCACACATAGATTTGTGCTGCTTAAGCAAAATGACAATAGCTCAGTAGCTGTTTTCAGAGAGACTCTGTGCACCTTGCTTTGCAGGTGTTTTCAGCTTATTGAGATCAGGCTTGAATGTGTTGGACGATGTTATATCTGATGCTGCTGCATTAGTGTAGTATAAACATAAACATGTTTAAGTGTAGTAGAAAATAAGCATTTTCTAAAGCAAATACTAATTCTTTTTCACTTCACTTTTGATTTTGAGAGTAGAAACTCTCAAGAGTTGACATTTTTGAGTGCCTTTATTCATGCTCTCAATTCATTAACTTCTGAACAGGAAGGAACTTACTGCTGATGCTCGTGAGCTGAAAGGAGAACTCTACTGCTTACCCTGCCATGACAAAATGGGTGTCCCCATCTGTGGGGCATGTAGGAGACCAATTGAAGGCCGTGTGGTGAATGCTATGGGCAAACAATGGCATGTGGAGGTAAACATAAGATGCTATACAATCTCTCTTACAAATGTAAACCTTAGCATATTTATCTCTGATTTTGCTGATCAATTTCAATGAAAGGATTCTCAAAGTTTGCACCAATGATTATAAATGTCTTCTCCAAATCCCTCTTCAACCTTATTGTGGCTGGTCTTCCACTGTGAAATAGGAGTTATTTGCCACCTTACAGAGAGCTTTGACTGTGAAACTAAAGTCAGTAATCAAAGGAAGCCGGGTGAGGTACTTACAAAATAAAATTTCAGAGCTCAAAGCAGTACATGTGAAAAGGCAGTCAAATCTGTGGCAACCATGTTACTAAGCATCATAATGCCCTCAGATACATATTTCTTTAACAGTTGATGGGAGAGTTCATATTTCAAGGCCACATACAAGATTCAGTTCCACATCTTCCATTTTAGTTAGATAAATTTATTTCTTCTGTTGTTTAGAAAGTCTTCTCTAGGAAATGCTTTCTTCACAAGGGTATAATGACAATGCATATTATTTAATAACTCCTAATTCTGTCCATTGATAAAAAAAATGAGAATCCATTGCTTGATTTTATTTTGTAACTTTTGGATTGAAATGTTGAAGACAATAAAATAAATATTGTTTTAAATGTTTTAAGACATTAAAATAAATACTATCTAAATGTAGGAACAAAAGTTCTAACTTTGCTTTTCAAGATGGCTTAGTAGACTTCAGCCATGTTCAAGTAGTGGACGTGGTTCGTTAGCTTTCCAGAAAAAAATAACGTTACTTCCAAAAGATAAAAAAATGTATTGTAATTTTCTTTGTAGCATTTTGTTTGTGCAAAATGCGAAAAGCCATTCCTGGGTCATCGTCATTATGAGAGAAAAGGCTTGGCGTATTGTGAAACCCACTACAATCAGGTAAGGTTGCATATTTTTAAAAATGGCATTAATTGGTAAACTCACAAATTGGCTTTATTAGATAGAGATGGAAAACCATGGACATTCTTATGTTTTGTTAAAGGCACCTCTGGGTGTAATGGCAATTAGCATATGTTCTGTTGCATTTAATTTATACAGGTTTCTCTATACCTCTGTGTGGCACTAAAAAGAAAACTGCAGGTATATCACAAAGCCTGGTGAGAACAGTTAGGATCAAGTTATTCTTCAGGCTTAGTGGTACTTCAGTAGAGCTGTTATGGGGCTTTGACGTGTCTGTGGATCAGAGCAGCTAATGACAACTAATCTCTCCTAAGAAGTTAAAGAAGATTTGCCACTCACTAACTGCATTTGGAGGCCCCAGTCAGTGGCATGGGTTTCCCTGCAGCTGCTGCTCTAAGACACTGTGTCTGTGTTATATGTGATATTTGCTCTTGCTCAGTCATTAGGTTGATAAAGACTTCCAAGACTAAATTTGTCAGAAGACACCCTCTAGTGACCACTTGCATTTATGTACAAGTTACATGTGGCAGTACCACCCCTCTCCAGACACCTTTGGATGGGGAGTCCAGCCCCACGGTGCACAAACATATTTTTCTTTGGAAGCCATCTGTGTCACATCACATTCACCTCCCTTGTTTACATAAATACATGAAGAGGGGTTACACTTGGGAGTTGTATGGCATCTGCTAATTACAGATGGATTCTTAATTGGTCATTAATGATGAAGGGCAGATGATTGGTGCTGGCACACTTGCAGACTGTAAATGCTGTGATGTTCATAGTAATAGTGTTGTAGCTGGGATGGGCCAAGTCTGTACACCAGACAAGAGTTGTATCTAGAGTGGATGTCTTTTTCTAGGTTAACTACTACAGTTAGAAAAAATACATGAAGTTTTTGGCACTTCCTGCTATATTGTGGAAAAATGATAAGCCTGGAAAAATAATTAATATTTTTTGTCTGAAATTTTCCATTTTTTTTAAATAAAGATAAAATTTTCTTACAGTTACAGTAATGCGTTGTTTTAGTCATGCATGCAAGTCCAAATGTTACATTTTCTGATTAGCAGCAATACGTATATGACACCAACTGCTGTATTTCAAATCTTCAGGATTAGAGAAATCTTGAAACAAAATAAAATCATACTTACTAAGAATCAAAGGTAGATAAATGTTTTCATCTTTAATATTAAGACTTTTTGTGATGAGATGATGCAAAATGTACGTGGAAAACCAAGCCAGACTTGCCAGCATTCTCTTTATTTCACTGGAATAAACAGGAAAGCGATTGTGCCCATCAGCTGAAATATATTTATTTTGCTAGTTTGGTAAGTTGCCCTCAATAAAATCATTATATTAAAAATTTATTACTTCTCTTTCCTCTTCAGCTATTTGGTGATGTTTGTTTCCATTGCAATCGTGTGATTGAAGGAGATGGTAAGCACTTTCCTGTTTCCTTAATGTTCCTTTTTGATGGAAGTTCTCTTTAAAAGTGAAAGTAAAGGGGAAGCAGCCCGGTTTTCATTAAAACAAAAACAGTTATTCCCTTGATCAGAAATTAAATTAGAGCTGATTAGTCAGAGACCAAATGGTAGGAAAACCTAACATCATTTCATGATGGTAGAACACCCCCCCATGGCCAAAGAGAACTGTGAAACCCCTTAGTGCCATGCAGAGGCCAGGGATGCTGGAAGATGCTCAGAAGTGGCTTTCTGCCACACCACCTTCAAAACAGAACACATGCAAAGGTGAGAAGGAGCATACAGGCATCTCCACAAATGAATTTGTGGTTCATGAGCCAAATTTGAAAATAGGTGGGCACTGCTAGGAATTTTTTTTTAAATGCTTTGTTCCTATTATGTCAGTTTAAATCCTGGAGATATTCACCCATCTATTGCAAGCACCTGTCTTTTGAAAATCTAGGCTTATGATAATGTCACAATACCAGGAATGATCATACTTGGAAATATATGTCCTGTAAAGGCAGAACTGCAAGTAATTTGTTTGTTTTGTTATTGTTTGATTGGGTTTTTTGGGAGAAAGGGGTGGGTTTGAGGGTTTTTTTGATAACTAGCTCTGATAAAATACCAAAAGCAAATTATTCTACCCAAAACAACGTGACATTATGTGCCTATTTACCCTGTCCAGAGTAAATACTATGTTAGCCTCATCTAAGCCAAAGGCATTAGCAAAGTAGGAGGAAGCTTCTAACATTAAAAAAGCGACATAAAACCAGTTTATAGTCTTGTATCTATAGGGTAAGACATAAATCCTGTAGACATGCTTTCCCTACATTTTCTGGACTGCAGTATGCCTGCAGAATAGCAATCCAAAATGCTTTAGAGGAAAGAGTCCTCATTTTCAGGAAAATTCTACTGGAATCAGCAGAAATGGAACTTTACTGATAACTACATCTATGTATGATTCTAACCTTTCACCATATAGTCTGACACCCATATTGTAAGTTTTGGTCTCTGAACTGAAAATAATACAGTATTTCTTTATTTTCAGTGTATGTCTTCAATTACATTTCTTCTTTCATTTCTGCACACAAATTTTGAGTCGGCTGTCACAAATTTGGTATCCAGTATTGTCCTCTGTCGGGTGAAACAAATACCTGTAGCAGCAGTTTTTCAGAAGGGTCTCTATGACTGCATTACTGAGGTTGCTTGGGAGCAAAAACTTTCACCTGTCTAGTATAATTCTGGAAAGTACTGGAATAACTGTGTATCTGTGGACATGCTTGCCCCATAGTGCAGGAAGAAACCTCTGCATGACAACACTTTGGTTCTCCTTGTTGACAAACTACTGTGAGAAAAACATTGTAAACGAAACATTATCCCATATTTTCTAACTTAGGAAAATTTTAGCAAGGAAAACTGGAAAGCTGTACTGAAAGAGAGAAAGAACAGGAACTGGATTTACCTACAAAACAAATAGGAAATAGTTACTTTCTCTTCAAAGCAGAGAATACAAAGAGTTTCTTTTTTTCACCTTGGTAGTGCTGATTTACCAGCAGTGTCTGGCTGCTGGCTTCACATTATTTTCTTTAGCTAGGCAAGTGCAACTGTTGATTGCAGTGCAGTCTGAACTGGATCTGAGAAATGAAAATGAAAACATAAACACAATTGTGCTGGATTGCTCTTCAGATGGAAGCATTTCCTAATTAAGTTGGAACCTGGCCTCACAGACCCATTGCTTGAGATCAGCTGGATATAAGATGAAGTGGAAGTGAAAAACAGGAGACAGAAATAGGTTAAGCTGGTCCTGCCTCAGAGACAGCTGTATCAATGCTCCACAGTCCTGCTTCATTACACTCTAAAATGTGCCTCGCCAGTCTGGCCATGTTATTGTTACACTCCTTAACACTTGATACAAGAATCAATGACTGTTCTTCACACCGCATGAATATGTAAGCTTAAAATTTTTGTAATCACTTTTATTGGTAAGGCTAATGATTTTTTTTTCCCCATCTCCTTAGTTGTGTCTGCTCTGAATAAGGCATGGTGTGTGAACTGTTTCGCTTGTTCAACTTGCAACACTAAGTTAACCCTCAAGTAAGTTTATGGATAAGTGTGATGTCTTCAACACATATCAGTGGTTCCCTTCAAAGTGTAGATGTTGCTATAGTGTAGCTGTTACTGGATGAAAAACATGTAAACAGCATTGAGGAAATAAGTGCCTCTTTCTTCCTCTTGCTCTACTTAATACTTTCCATCTTTTTCAGCTGTCTCTTCAGTTCTTCCTTCAATAAATCTTCCTAACTCTTCTCCTTTTCCATCCTTTATTTTTTCTTGTTTAACTCTAAAGGGATAAGTTTGTTGAAATTGATCTAAAACCTGTCTGCAAGCACTGCTATGAGAAAATGCCAGATGAATTTAAGCGACGACTTGCCAAACGGGAACGTGAAGCAAAGGATAAAGAGAAGCAGAAAAAGAAAAAGCCAATCTGTTTGTAAACTTCTTTTCCTTCTCACAGCCACCTCTGCTCCTTTCTTCTTTGGTTAGTCCTAAGGATGCTTTTTTTTGCACTTTTGCATGAACTTATGGCAGTCAAAACCAAAACATCTTTCACGCAACTGCAACTTGAAATACTAACTTGCTATTCCATTATCTTTTGTTTAGTCTAGAGTTAGGTTTGAAAGGCTTTCTAAATTGCACATTTAATAAATATGGGCTTTTGGGTAAAATCTGCATAACTTACTCAACAAGGTATTTTAATCACCATCTACAGTATATGTAACTTGTAAAAGTAACTTAATGTATTTGTATAAATTGGGGAGTTAATTTTTTGCTTGTGCACATTTAATAGGAGAGGGTTGGGGTTTTTTTAATTCTTTTTTTCACTATCTAATCTGCTAAAACTTTGTTTCTTTTGCTTTGTTGTTTTAGGAATAAATTTGTTGAGTTTGATATGAAGCCTGTCTGCAAAAAGTGTTACGAGAAGTTTCCTCTAGAGCTGAAGAAAAGACTGAAGAAATTAGCTGAAACTTTGGGAAGGAAGTAAAGACTTCATCTGCTCTCCTCTTCCTTTGTGAAAATCCTATAGATACTACTTGAGGGGGAGGGGGGAGTTGCTGCTTTGAGGCTGTAGTCAGACAACAAGTGCTGATGCGTGCCTTCTATCAACCCAGAATACATTAAGGTTCTCTGTTCTCTGTACATGTGTGCTTACTTGTTGACAAACAGACCATACTTCCAAAATAAATACCAGCTCACCTGACAGGTTTCTGACCAATTATGCCATTGTATGGATGCAGGTGGTCAATTCTGTACACTAATTCTCTGTGGAACTCTTCAGAGAGAGAAAATTTGCTTGTGAACACCACCTGTGAAAAAAAACTTTGCAAATGCACCCAACTTTAGGGATGTGTATTGTCATTTATGTTAGTGAAAATATTAACCTTTGTATTAAGCATGCAGACAGAACTTGCCCAGCTCAAGTGATATGGGCAGGAAACCAATATCCTTTGCCTCATGGAAAAATTCACACTTAGATTTCAAGCCAAGTCATTTCATTAAGGAGCCTTGTTTCAGATGGTTTGAGAACCATCAGATTTCTAAATATAGCACTGTACAAATGACATACATAAAATGATAAAAATGATAGATTATGCTTACATGATGAATGTTTCTACATCAGGCTTAGCATGAGATACTTATATAAAAATGTATTCCTATTGCAAGAAATGAGCATACTCAGAACTACTTGAATTTTGCTATATTCCACTTAAAATAACACATTAACTTCTATATATGCTTTTGCATTCTATTTACTTTTTGTGCCTTATTCTGCTGGACCATACCTAACAGTGTACCATTAAATATATATAGTTTTATATTTTATTTCATATTTTTATGCAGAAACTATATAGAACATATTTTCAAAAGATAACATACTTTGCCTTAATTATACAGGATGCAAGAAGTATTTTATTTGAAATGTGAACATCTGCATTTAAAATTTAGCTTCTAGACTTCATTGATTTTCAGAACAATATTGAAAATGCATATTTCAATTAACTGGCAATATTACTTTTACACCTCTGAGTGTAAATATGCAAGGTTTGATCCTGCTAGGATCTACTTCTTTAGCCATCCTCAAGGACTGAGCTTACAAATAATCAAAGTTCTTTATAACATTCATTTAATTGTTTTATACTATTGAGTTCTGTCCATGCAAATTTGGGGTTTTTTGCCCTTTCTTATAGAAAATACAGCTACTTAGGTCTTCTTGATGGTACGAAGTATGCAAACTTTTTTTTTTATTTTTGTACATTAGTGACTTAAACTGATTTTATGTAATTACATAACAGGAAGTAAAATTTTCTTTCTTTTTTATGAAAAATTAGTTACTTTAAAACATCTGCTTTCCTGTGTCATCAATAAAGGCCTTGATATTAAACTGTGTATTGCCTCTCTGAAATAAATGCTTGAGATGGGTGGGAAAGCAGTAAGGCTCTCTTGGATCCCGAACTTTTACCTGTGACTGTGTAAATACTTCCTTATTATCCTGATTTAAAGGAGACATGTACCTTTCCTAAAGGCATATGTCTGTATGTAGTTCTAAGGTTCATAAAAGAAACCACAGCTTGTTTCATAAAGAATAGTTTGATTCTTCTGGATATTTTCTGAATTAGAAAAGTCACTAGGTTTTCCTAAAGCAAGTATCTTGTCTGAGTGTAAAACATACACCCTTTTCTCTCAACTTTTCAGCTTTCTCAACTTTTTCTCTCCTGTTTTCACTGTAAAGAAACTGTCACCCCAAACTTCCAGTTTATTGCTAGGTAGGGTATTTTTTGACTATTTTATCCTACATAATTAGTGAGTGCTGTAACATTCATAAATGTAGTCCCTGACCCTGTTGAAGACTATGAAAGCTTAAAATGTCCTCAAAAATTGGTTACCTAACTAGCCCAGTAGCCTTGTTGGAATTTTGGACTGTGCCATGGATTCAGTAGACCACACTCTTGCTTCCTCCTCAAGTTATAACTGACTTGGGAGGTTTTCATGTTACACTGAGTATACATCTCCTCCTTCAGCCCATGTGTGCCCAGCCTTCCTGCACAGAGTTGGGAAGGGTCACTCGCCCCAAAGCTACATGGCAAGACCTGGCTCATATCCACATTGCTCAGGGTTAATCCATCTGCAGCACAGCAGCCTCAGATTTCCTCTCCACTCTGGTGGGCCTTGAGGCCTGACAGAGACTGGGTTTTTCCATTTCCAAGTTCCTGATGACAAACGCTGTGCTACAGTTCACCAAGGCAACACCTTCTGTTTCATGAACTCTCATGTGTGTATGTCAGACCCCACAATGTAGCACTTAAAGCATCTGAGGGTACTTGAGGGTTCAAAGACTGATAAAGCATGGAAAAATGTTGGTTGGAAGGGACCACTAGAGATCAGCTAGCCCAGCCATCTGCTCAGAGTGGGTCTAACTTCAGAGTTACATCAGTGCAGAAGGTCTTGCTTGGCCGAACTGTGAACATTACCAGGCAAAGAGATTTCACAGGCCTTTGTGGATAGTATGTTTCAGTGCTTCATCACCCTCAAGGTGAAAATATTATTCCTGGAATCTTATCTCAAGGGGAGAGTTTCCCAAATCCAGGCTGCTCTCTTGGGAGCTGTCTTTGGCATGAACTGTCATTAGTATAATACCCCTGGACATTGTCATTAAGAGAATTAGTTAATGGCAGTTGCAAAACACAGCCAGGAAGCAAGCTAGCAATTAGGCAGCCTGGACAATTACACGTCTGGTGCTGAAGCGCAGTTCCTGGTCCAAAGTATTCTAAGTATCTCATGTAGTTGCACATACTTTCCTAAAGGAGGCAGAGCCTAGTACTGTTTTTCTGCCCAGACTCCTATTAGGTCTGTCAAGGAATCCGTGAGCCTGGGATTTGGGAATGGGTGCCTCAGAAGCTTTGTCCCTTTCTGCTGCATGGATCAATTACGCATGGACAAGAGAGGTTCCTTTAAAAAGCCTGGTTAGGCTAACAGCAGGGAGCACTCCAGAAAGCCCAGGGGATATTGCTGTAGGGGGAAGAGCTGAGCCTAAAGCCTTTGTGCTGCTGGCAGTGGCATGTCCTGTGCTCAGTTCCAGTGGATAGGCAGCGAGCTGTGCTGAGCACAGTCAAGTTGCAGGGACAGCTCTCGAGCCAATGCTGTCCTACCCTCTGTGCGACTACCAGGGACAGAGGGTGCCACTTCCACAGCGATGCGTGAGACAGTGACCAGTGCCAAACTACTGGATCTGGTCTACATGAAGGCAATTTCCCATGCCTCCCCATCAGCTGAAGTGCAGTAATATTCTCCAGTGTGTCAAGTAAACTCTGACGTTCTCCTTTGCACCAGCACCAACACTTCTATTACCTAGCCTGGCAAGTGCAGATAGTAAATTATTTGGTAATCCCAGCTTCAGGCACACCATTAAAAAGTACAGAGAAAAAAAAAGATTTTTTTTTTTTTGTGGAATTAAATCCAATGTCTAATTAAATCACCAGTAACAGAAAAAAAGAATAAAAGAGAGGATTAATTCTTTCAGTCAGGGTCTTACATGGATGTTGCTATTCTTAAAGAAAAAGTTGGCTATGTTTCCTTATTTTTCCTGCAAAGAGGGTAAGAGCTGTGGGGCTGATGGTATATTTAAGGTGTGGCAAGAATCCTGTGACTGTCAATGGGTTGTTTGAGATGGAGAATGGAGAAATTTTTAATTACACTTCTTCAGAGACATGGCCCAATGGCCTCATTTTGAACAAAGCATCTGAACTGGCAGGAAACATGGTTAATTCCAGTGAGCAGAATCTGAGGCTTCCTGCTTGGAATTTCACCACAGGGCTCATCCTCAAGCCACCAAACCTGTAAAACTACAACTTGCAAATCTGTCCTGCCTTGAGGGTTGCTGGTCCATCTTTTAGTCCATGTTCCCAGCTGTGTTTTAGAGCTTAATTGTTTAATTATACTATCTGCAGTGCCTGGAAAAAAAGGTTTCTCACCACAGCTGCTACAATATTTGAGACTCATTTTCTAGAGCGTTGGATCTCAGTAAGAAGGCTCTTATGCTTACAGATTAAATTTATAGTTGCTCTGAAACACAAAGTATAGAATATTACAGGTTGGGAGAGACATTAAAGGTCTAGTCCCAGGCCTGTGCCATGGGGGACACTCCCCACTAGGCCAGATTATTCAGAGCTCCATCCAACCTGGCCTTGAAAACTGCCTGGGATGGGGCACCCACAAGCTGGGCAACCTGTACCAATGCTTCAATACCATCATAGTGAAGAATTTCTCCCTTCTATCTAACCTAAATTGTCCCTCTTTTAATTGTACCCATTACTCCTTGTCCTATCACTACAGTTCCAGCCAGAGTCCCTCTCCCGCTTCCCTGAAGGCCCCTCACATTCGGGAAGGTTGCTGTGAGCTCTCCATGGAACCTTCTCCAAGCTGCACAGACACAACTTCCTCACCCTGTCTTCGTACAGGAGATGCTCCAGGCCTCCTGTCAACTCCGTGTCTCTCCTCTGGACTTGCTCCAACAGTTCCATATCCTTCTTATGGTGAGGGCGCCAGAACTGTTACTTAGCTTTAGGTAAAAATTTATTATCTAAGTACATATACATATATAGTATATTATTTAGGTGATAAATATACTATCACCATATATATTTTTATATATTACCGAGGTGAGTTTATTGTCGTTTCAGGTGAGAAAATGCTAAAACTTCGTTTCCCATAATTTTCCATGACAGATTTTCCAGCCGGGCTTTCCTCCGCCACCCCGTGCGCATGCGCATGCGCGGCCAGGCCCCGCCCCCGGCCGTTGATACGGGGGCGGGAGCCGGGTGCGCGCCGGGGCTGCGCGCGCCGCACGGCTGAGCGGGAACTTGCGTAACGTGTGGCGGCCGCGTCGCTCCTGCGCTTCCTTCCTTCCTCCTTCCCTCTGCAGGCGCCGGGCCAAGACCGCCGGGCCGCCCGGGAAGGCGCGTTCCGCCGCGACAGAGGCCGGGCGCGGCCCCTGCCGCCGCGGCGGCGCCATGATGAGGCGGACGAAGCCCGAGGTGGAGCGCTACGTCGCCTCCTTGCAGGCCGCGGCTCCATCCCCCAGAGAGGTGAGCGCGGCCTCGCGTTGTTCGCCGGGCCCGGGGGGCGCTGCGGCCGCTCCGTGCGGCCGGTATGGGGCCCGTTCCACCGCGTGGGGCGGTGGCGGCCCTGCCGCGCGTCCTGAGGGACCGCCGCCCCCGCGCCACGGGGAGGCCTCGCTGCCGCCGGGCCGGGGGGCGGCTGCTTTCTGCGGGCTCCCCGCGCCGAGCCCAGCCTAGCCCCTCGGTGTTGGGGCTTAGTCTGCTTGGCCTGTCCTCGTCCGTGGCGGTAAGAAGAAAAAGGATCCCTTTCTGGAGACACTCAAACCCCACCTGGACGTGCCTGTATCACCTGCCCTAGGTGACCGAGCCGTGGCAGGTTGTTGGACTAGATGATCTCCAGAAGTCTCTTGCATTCCTTACTATTCTGGTATTCTGTGAGTTATGGTGCCTTTGGGATCATTTCTGAGCGTGTAATTACTCAGAGTCTCTGACTAATCGAGTGAAGTAAGGGAAGCTGAGGAAGGTCCAAGGGGTTTCACGTACTGGAGTTGCTTTCCCTAACTGGGAGCAGGGGTTTGCTAGAGCTGTACACCTGTATTTTACAACTGATAAGACCTAGTGTAGTTTTAAAGAGTCCACGAGTTCTCCGAGTACAGACTTCTTCAGTTTTGTGAGAGTTTAGTTCTTGTGATTCCCGAGTTTCGTTTCTCAGAAAAAGATTTCCGATCTTTGTTTTTTCAGAAGAATCGAAAAAGGAACTAGTGAAGCACTTTCGGTTTTCTTTTATTGTTGTGTCATTAATATTCCTGTCTTTGTAGCAGTATTAGGAGAGGAGGAACCGGGGACAAATAATCTTTCTGTTGTATTTTAGTAACTGGCTAAAGGATGGGGATCGCTGGATAACTTGTTACCATGTTTCATTATATGTAGAAAAGGATCGCAGTGAACAGTCTGATGCAATTCATGGGAGCTATTTAATCCTGAAAGATCCTGTTCTACCGCTCTTGAATTGATTTTTTAAGTTAGAATATTCAGCACTGTGTTGTATAGTGTGAATACATCCATGTTCACCGTTATGCAGCAGGGCCTTTGTGCAGGCCTTGTGTGCATCATCATTATTTGTATCTCTTTCCCAACAGCAACAAAGTTGTTCTGTGGTTTAATTGATTTGTGTACTGCCTAGAGCAGCCAATGTCAAGGGCATGACTCTCAGAATCATAGGTGCTCTTTTGGTTTTTTTGGTATTCCTACTGAACTCAACAACTAAATAAATCCTCTCCTGTTGCGCATAAGACCAGCTGGTGCATATTTACTTGTTTAGTTTGGTTTTTT